AAAGGCGTGCGCCACCACCGCCCAGCAGGACCTTAGGACAGACAGCCGAGAGCCACCCTGTCTCCACGGGGAATCAAACCCGGGACCTCTCGCATTGCGGGCAGTGCTCTTAACTGCTGAGCCATCTCTCCGCTCTCATTTTTTTTAAAAACTGAAAATATTTCAGTGTTCTTCAAAGTCTGACACACAACAGTATATTCTCTTTCTTTTCCACGTTAGTGACTAAGGGAGCCCTAACCAATATGAAGACTTTCAGGGACATCTCACTGTGACTGTTCATGGATGCATTGGAAGCAAATGTCATTGTCACTCAGCAAACTCTAGTTCTATACACGGATAGAATATAAGATGCTGCTGTGATACAACAATATAGAATAATCTGAGCAAGATCATTAGCATAGTCTGTGATTGGATGTTTCCTGTCCTGACCACAGGGTACCAAATAACTGACTCAGGGGCTGAATATAAATCATAAATGTTTAGCTGATAGCTCAGGCTTATTACTAGCTAACCCTTCCATTTGAATTAACCCAGAATTTTATCTATGTTTAGCCACATGGCTTGGTACCTTGTCTCATTTTGCTTCTCTGCAGTTTCCTTACCCTCTGACTCTGCCCTTCCTTCTCCTATTATTCTTTCTGCCTCTGGCCCAATCTCTTCTTACCCTACTATCAGCCAATCAGTTTTTTTTTTAAATATTAATAACAGGCACAATCCACAGCTGAAGCACTCTCTATTTTCCTATCATCTGAAGTTCATCCTTTGGCCATTTTGAAATGTGCTTTTTCATTAGCTATAGTGATTCTGCTGTGCAGAATGATATGAAAACTCACTCCTGTGTATTTGAAGCAATGTGTGCTCCTATCCATAAACCCCAATTCTAGCCACAGCCTGTTGCGATCATTCTGCCCTTCCCTTTTAGAAGCGCGACCATTTAGAACCATTTAAACCACTCGTTGAGGTTGGGCCCTCTCTTACACCTCTGCGATGATGAGCTTATGTTTGTTACAGGAGAAACTGGAATCGGCAAATCAACACTGATCAACACATTGTTCAATATTAATCTGAAAGAGAACAAGACCTCCCATTTCTATTCAAAGGTTGGACTTAAAGTGAAGACGTACGAACTTCAGGAAAGAAACATTCCCCTGAAGTTGACTGTTGTGAAGACAGTGGGGTACGGCGATCAGATAAATAAAGAAGCCAGGTTAGTGCTTTCTTATGGTTTTTAAATTAATTTTTAAAGTTAGCATGAAAGGTATTGAGTTTTATTATGATGTGTTTTATTCTCTTTAAATAATAAGTAGAGATCACTCCTTCTCTCTCTCTCTCTCTCTCTCTCTCTCTCTCTCGATTTATTTATTATGTATACAATATTCTGTCTGTCTCTATGCTTGCTGGCCAGAAGTGGGCACCAGATTTCATTACAGATGGCTGTGAGCCACCATGTGGGTGCTGGGAATTGAACTCAGGACCTCTGGAAGAGCAGCCAGTACTCTTAACCTCTGAGCCATCTCTTCAGCCCCCCCCCCCCTTATGAGACAGGTCTTGCTATGTAGCCCCAACCATCCTGGAACTCTCTCTATAGAATCAGCTTGACTTTGAACCTGCCTCTGCTTCCTAAGTGCTTGGATAAAAAGTATGTGCCATCAGGCAGTGTGTTTTGATATTTTATTTAAAATCCTTCTCATTTCAACAAATTGCCTTCTTTTGCTAGGCTAAATTGTATTATCTTAAAATTTTTATCATTTTAACTGTGTGTGTGTGAGAGTATGTGTGTGTGAGAGTTTGTGTGTGTGTGAGTTTGTGTGTGTGTACATACTAGGTGTCTGTAGATAATAGAGACATTGGAGTCTTTTCAGTTAGTGGAGGTTGTGAGCCATTTGATGGATGCCAGGAACTGAACTCAGGTCCTCTGAAAGAGCAATAATGTACTCTTAACCACTGAGCCATTTCTTCAGCCCTAAACTGTACTTCTTTCTATGGTAATTGATGTCTTTCCTTCTGGCTTTTAATTCTTTCCTCATGAAGTAATATTATGATGAAATGGGTGCTTTTATATATCTAGTGTAGTTGCTTTATTTAAAATTTTTATTTTATGTGAATGGGTGTTTGGCCTGCGTGTGTGTCTAGGTACTACATGTATGCCTGGTGTCCATGGAGACTGGAAGAGAGTGTTAGATCCCCTGCAAATGGAGTAACAGAGAGTTGTGAGCTTCCATTGGATGCTGGGAATCGAACCTGGATCATCTAGAAGAGCAGCAAACGGTCTTAGCTGACTCACCTTTCTAGCCTGCTTTGCCTCAGCTCTGATGTAATGGCATCATGTGAGCAGCATAGAATTAGCCAGGATGGGAATATGGGAATATTCAAACCACTGTAATCAGAAAAGTCATCCTTCCTCTTCCTTCCTCCTCCTCCTGTCTGTATGCCTGCAGGCCATAAGAGGGCACCAGATCTCATTACAGATGGTTGTGAGTTATCATGTGGTTGCTGGGAATTGAACTCAGGTCCTTTGGAAGAGCAGTCAATGTTCTTAACCTCTGAGCCATCTCTCCAGCCCTCCTCCTCTTCCTCCTCCTTCTCCTCCTCTTCCTTCTCCTCCTCCTCCTTCTCCTCCTCCTCCTCCTCTTCCTTCTCCTCCTCCTCCTCCTTCTTCTCCTCCTCTTCCTCCTCCTGTAGTAATAAGGGCGGCGGGCCTGCTTTTCGACCCTCCTGGCTCCCGCACAGCTAGCTTTACACCAGAAATAACAACACACAAACTGTATTCATTTAAACACTGCTTGGCCCTTTAGCTCTAGCCCTTACTGGCTAATTCTGATATCCCAATCAACCCATCTCTAATAATCTGTGAGCACCGGTCTTACCGGGAAGATTCTAGGTCCATCCTGGGTCGGAGCTGAATCACATCTGCCCGGGAGAGCGGAGCATGGCGTCTCTCTGAGGCGTCTGCTCCCGAGAGGAGAGCTGTGGAGTCTGAGCTCACTTCCTCTTCCTCCCAGTGTTCTGTTCTGTTTACTCCTCCCACCTATCTTCTAACCAATGAGGGCCAAGCAGTTTCTTTTTATTTAACCAATGACCTTCCTCCATCATCATCCTCCTCCTTCTCCTCCTCCTCCTCTTCCTCCTCCTCCTCTTCCTCCTCCTCCTCTTCCTCCTCCTCCTTCTCCTCCTCCTCCTCCTCCTCCTTTTCCTCCTCCTCCTTTTCCTCCTCCTCCTTCTCCTCCTCCTCCTCCTCCTTCTCCTCCTCCTCCTCTTCCTCCTCCTCCTCTTCCTCCTCCTCCTCCTTCTTCTCCTCCTCCTCCTCCTCTTCCTTCTCCTCCTCCTCCTCCTCCTCCTCCTCCTCCTCCTCCTCCTCCTCCTTTTTCTTTCTGAGATAGGGTTTTTCTGTATAACCCTGGCTCTTCTACAACTCACTCCATAGACCAGGCTGGCCTCAAAATTAGAGAGCCACCGGCCTCTGCCTCCCAAGTGCTGGAAATAAAGGTGTGCATCACCATGCCTGCCTTGAAACCAGCAAATTCTAAAAATCAGTACTTTTTTCTCTTTGCAGAGAACATCTTAAATAATCACCATTACTTTCTATTTCAGGACAAGGTTTTGAACAAAGACTAGACCGAAAAAGGATGACACAAAGGACCATGTCATGTTGCTTTAAGTAGTTATTCTTAGAAAGTGAACATCATTTTAATAATCAGCTTAATTCTACTAAATGCTACATGCTTTGTTCTGTGATAAAAATAAGACCACAGTTCATCTTGCATTAGTTGCTGCAATTGACTGTGGTTAATCCCCTTAGACCGATGCTTAAAACAATAGAAACATTCTTTCACACATCTACAGTCCAGAAATCCAGAAGCAAGGGGTCAGAGCTTAGAAGAAACCAAAGAAGGAGGATTTGCTGTGAGCTGGAAACCAGGCTGGGCTCCGATCCTAGTTTGGTTTCTACTGCTGTGGTAAGAAACCATGACCCAGAGCAACATGGGCAGGAGAGGCTTACACATCCCTAAACATAGTCCTTCCCATTGACAGAAACCAACCGAGGCATGAGCTGAAGCAGAAGCCACGGAAGGGTGATGTGCTCTTCGCGGCTTGCTCAGCCTGCTTTCTTAGACCATCATGGAGCCATCCGTAGCGAGCTCTGCCCTCCCACAGCGGTCATTACGCCAGAAAATTCCCGGCGGAGTTGTACACACGCAGTGTGAAGGAGGCATTTTCTCCGCTGAGGTTCTTCTTCCTAGATAACTATAGCCTGGGTCAACTTGACAGAAACCCAACCGGGAGAGCTACAGAGCAAGTGAAAAATCGCTTAAGGTGCCTTCTAGAGTCCAGCTAGACCAGGGCTTTAGGGAAAAAAGCCCTTGTTTATTGTAGCTGCAGGTGCCGGCCGTCACTCATCTGTACTTCTGCCGTCACACAGCGATCTCTACTGATCTTTATGTGTTGGACAGTTGTCACTGGATGTGGACACAGGGTCCCAGTCACCTTTATTCAAGTTTCGATCTTTCACTCTCTCTTGAGACTGGGTTTTGCTATATATCCCAGGCTAGCTTTGAATTCACTAAGTAGTCTAGGCTGACTACTCAGAGCAATCCTCCTGCCCCAGACTTCTGGTGTTAGGATTATAGGAAATGTGTTACTATGACTTGCTTCAAAATTTCGAAATTACAGCTATAACGCCATTTCCCTTAAAATAAAGTCACATTCTTTAGGGACTGGGACTTGGATATCATACATTCTACCACTGAGCCACACCCCTACTTTGGGATTGTATTTAATGGCCAATGAAACGCATCTTTTTTTTGGGGGGGGGTGTTCAAGACAGGGTTTCTCTGTGTAGTCCTGGCTGTCTTGGAACTCTGTGTAGACCAGGCTGGCCTCTACCTCACAGAGATCCTCCTGCCTCTGTCTCCCAAAGTGCTGGGATTAAAGGTGTATGCTACCCCTACCCAGCAAAATGCATTGATTTTTATCAAGTGACAAACTGTTTATTGCACACAATGTTGATTAAATAGTAAGACATTAGATTCTGATTTTACTAACCTGTCATGCTAAATGTTTAAATAATAATTTGTTTTTCAGCTACCAGCCAGTAATTGACTACTTGGATGCTCAGTTTGAGGCATATCTCCAGGAGGAGCTGAAGATCAAGCGTTCCCTGGTTGACTATAACGATTCCCGTATCCATGTGTGCCTATACTTCATTGCGCCTACAGGACACTCCCTCAAGTCCCTGGACCTGGTGACGATGAAGAACATTGACCGAAGGGTGTGTTTCCTAAACCATCAGTCTTTCAAGGTCCAATGGATGTTTTGAGATGACAGCATATTGCGAAGCATTCATATGCAACTGCCTATTATTTTAGAATATGTGCATATATTTAAATATTTTTTCTGTTGTTCTTGAAAGCATTTGACTGAATTTTTCAGGGCATTCCTAAAAAAATGTCAAAGAGAGGATGGTTTAAACAATTAAAAAAATCATTTTTCACGTAGTCCTGGGATCTAGAAAATCAAGGTGCAAGCATTTATCTTCTTGACCTGCAGGTGGCCACCTCTTTCCTTTTTCTCACATGGCCGATCTACTGGTGTCTGTATGGACAACGTTCTTTTTCTCTTTTTTGAGACAGGGTCTTTTGTAGTGCAGGCTGGCCTAGAACTTGATATGTATCTGAAGTTGGCCTTAGCCTCCTGATTTTCTTGCCTTAGTTTTTACAGAGTTGGGATTGGGGGTATGCACCACTACACTAGGCCACATTTCTCCCTCTTATAAGGTTGGTAACCAAACTGGATTAGACCCCACTATAACAGTCTAACTTTAATTTAAAATTTCCATCTGCAAGTACTGATATGCTCTGAGACAGTCAAGGTTATCAATATATAAAATATAGAGGAGGGAAATTTTAATGTTTGATAGAATTTCATCTTAAGCTACTATTCCAGGCAAATTTAATAGAAACAGTAACTGATTGGTGATTGGTGTGGTGATGCATGCCTGTAATCTCAGGACTTAAGGGGATGAGGCAGGAGGGGAGTTGTGAGGTTGAGCAAACCTGGACTACATAGTCTTCAGGCAGCCTGCACTGCGGGGTGAGACTATGTCTTAACAAAATCAGCAATAACCAAAAATAACTGAAAAACCAACAACTCCCCAACTTTTTTCCCATTTGGAAAGAGAGGTACAGGAAAAACACTAAAATAAAACTTGAAAGAAATCTTTTTGTTTTTTTGAGAGAGCGTTTCTCTGTGTAGCCCTGACTGTCCTGGAACTCACCAGGCTGACCTTCGACTCAGAGATCTACCTGCTGTTACCTCCCAAGTGCTGGAATTAAAGGCATGCACCACCACTGCTGGGCTAAAACTAGAATTTTTTTTCTGTGATTAAATTCTAATCAGATCAGCTAGGCAGTGATAGCACATGCCTATCTATGATCCCAGCAGAGGCAGGTGGGTCTCTATGAATTTGGGGCCAGCCTGGTTTACACAGCCAGTTCCAGGACAGCCAAGACTACAGCTACACAGAGAACACAGAGAAACCCTGTCTTGAAAAACAAAACAACAAAAAACAAAACGAAAAAAGAAAAGAAAAATTCTAATCAGACCACAGCCATTTGTACATAATTAAAAATTGAATTTACTATATGGTACTGTCCTATGAATCTTTGACTGGTATCACTGATACAATGAAACATGAATCTTTTCTGGTTCTGGTCTTGAATTCTCTCAGAGAAGACTCAGAAAACAGAACAGGAAGGTAGCTGCTGCCCTCTGTATAAAAATAGACCCCAAAGCAAAACACTGAGGGAGATTAAAAGACATGTGGACCTGCCTTTTTCACAAAGGAGCTTGCTATGTAGCTCGGGTTGCCCTAGAATTCATGATCCTCCTGCCTCAGCCTCCCAGGTGTTGGATTTACAGGTGTTACCATCACAAGCGGATTTCCTTTGTCAGACGTCTTACCCCATGGTTTTAGAAAAATCTGTAGTTGAGGCATGGGGGGCTCTAGACTCAGGCCCACCGCATGTTTCTCCAGCCACAGTGATGTGTGTGGCTTTCCCTCTTATCTAGAATGCACCGCAGGAATGGGACAGGTTCTTAAAGGTATAGTGACCCTATACCTCAGCTCCAACACGCTCAGCCTGTTCTCCAGTTTGCACACAGGGACCACTGCTTTTTGGAAGACTGTTCTGAAGTCTATCTAGATTCATTGTATTCATAAGGATTGGACAGTAGATGCTGGCTATTATCTCAAGCTTTCTCAGTCTCTGTAACACTTTGAATTTAAAGTTTTCATCTGTCTCCTTGAGACCGTTAAGTTTTTAATCTTAAAAATACCATTAATATTATAGTTACATAAAGACCTGTTCTAAGCTGTTGTAGTTCCTCAGAGAGATTCTCCCCAAGACCAGAACTCCCGCCAGAATACTTTCATCTGCTTGAATTTATCATAAGCATGTATTCTCACAGAGGGTCAACTAAATAGGTGTATATATATATATATATATATATATATATCTCACAAGTTTAGATTAAATTTTGCTCATTTGATTAAATTTTCTAGTCCCTTATTAGATTTTTCCCTCCTCTAGTTTAGCATAAATGTTTGGAAAAACATGGGATTTGTCTAAGAATTTGCAAAATGAGCTTTGAGAATTCGAAAATAAAGGCAACTGACATAAAGCTGATATTTATTCATCCAGACCTTATTATTGGTTAGCATGCATTTATGGAGAAGCGGTTACATGAGTGACAGCTAGGAGAAAAACTCTTTCTCCCAGCATTTTGATGAGAAGTCTTTTTGTCAGCCAGTTTGATAAGTTATCGGTCTACTGAATCTTACTGATTAAAATACAGAGGTATTAGGGAAGATGTTTTAAATTTTTTATTGTTTTTATTGAGTTATATATTTTTATTCGCTTCCCTCCCTTCCTCTCCCCTCCCCTTCAACCCTCTCCTATGGTTCCCATGCTCCCAATTTACTCAGGAGATCTTGCCTTTTTCTACTTCCCACGTAGATTAGATCCATGCATGTTTCTCTCAGGGTCCTCTTTGTTGTCTAGGTTTTAGGGGAGATTTTTAGAAGAGAAACAAAGTCAAAGCTTCTAAGCCTGAGTTCTGATAAAAGATGAGGGGTCACGAAGTAGCTCAGGGTACAACATTTATCTATAGCATTCAAAGCTTGAGGTTTAAATCATCAGCACTCCCCCAAACAAGAAATTCTCTGTAGCTGAGAACCCTGGGGCACACCTGTGGGTAACTCCAGACCTCTTCCCCGCATGCCAGCCATCATCCTGTCAGAAACAACAGCCGCAACCACAAACCACACACACAATGTTTTCAGGAGTAGGGTTTAGGCTGGAAAATTGTGACATTTGACCCGCCTTCCTTCCTTCCCAACAGGTGAACATCATACCACTGATTGCCAAAGCCGACGCACTTTCCAAAAGCGACCTCCAGAGGTTCAAGAGTAACATCATGAGTGAGCTGGACAGCAATGGCATCCAGATATATCAGTTCCCGGAGGACGACGAAGATGCTGCTCAAGCAAACACCTCAGTGAATGTAAGCTGCTTCTGCTGGGTCTGAACTCTCTTCACATGTGATATCATCTGCACTTGATTATCACTTGTATCAGACAGGAGATAATAAACAATACATTTTTCCTCAAAATACATCGTGGGGGAAATGTTTCAACCCACCCTCCACCCCTCCCTCTCTTTCTTCTTCCCTCCCTCCCTCCCTCCCTTTCCTCTCTCCCTTCCTCCTTCTCTTTTTTCCAACCTTCTTTGGCAGGGTTTCATGTGGTCCAGGCTGGCCTTGAATTTACTCTGTAGATGAGACTGACCCAACCTAATTCTATCTCCTGAATACTGGGATTACAGGTAGGAGCCACCAGGCCTGGGTTATACAGTGCTGGGGTTCAAACTCAGGACGTTGTGCATGCCAGGCAAACACTCCCCCAACAGAGCTAAACCTCCAACTATTTAGTTTCTTGATTTTTGAAACTTTTTTCTTACTGTTGTGTGTCCAAGGCTCCTGAGCAATCCAAGCAGACACAAGAGGCCACACAAAGCAGGATTTTATTGGCTTGGGCAGCATGGCAGAAACCGACTGGTCAGGGACAATAGTACTCCTGTGCCAAGTTATGATTAGGGACTTCCCTAGGAGCCCTGTTCTGTGGTATGCTTATCTTATTCTCATTGGTTGGCTCACTCACGTAGGGCAGGGTGGTTTGCCCATCATTCATGTCTCAGCTTGCCAGCCAGGATGCCATCCACCAAGGGAGGTCTGGGACGGTCTTGGGAACTTAAACATCACTTGACCCCTATTCAAGATGGAAGTTTTATTCAAAATGTCTTCAGTTCGGTTCCTTCTTTCATACTAAGACTCAAACTCTTTTCATTAAATAGCTTTATTAAGATCTAATTTTTAAAAAATTAAGCTGGACATGGTGGCACAGTTTTAATCCCAGCGTTTGGGAGGCAGAGACAGGTGGCTTTTGGAGTTGGAGGCCAGCCAGGGCTGCATAGTGAGACTGTGTCTCAACAAAACAAAACAAACAGAAACAAATAGGTTTAGATTTTGGTATTAATCCGTTAGACTAAGATGTAAACAATTGATCATTTAAGTCCAGCGGTTTTAATGCATTCACAGATAGGTGCAATTACGTTGGGGGACAGTTGTACCATAGTTGCATTTCTTTGAAAACATATCTTATCCAGATGATAGTGGTACTCACCTGTAATCCCAGTATTTGCAAGATGGCTCAGGAGGCTCAGGAGTTCAGGTCCATCCTCAGCTCCATAATGAGATCAAGGACAGACCATGTCTCAAGGGACAACTTAGTTTCACATCCTTCTTCATCTCTCTCTCTCTCTCTGGCTACCGCTCGGGTTCCAAACAATTACTATCTTATATCTTATATCTATTTTTTAAAGTATTTACCTTTTGAGATTATAATATAATTACATCATTTCTCCTTTTCCTTTCAAACCCTCCTTTCTCTTCTTTAAATTCATGGCCTCTTTTTTCATACATATACATATACATCACATACAGATACAGACAGGGATGTATGCATGCTTAACTATAGAAATACAACTTGTATATTTGTTTCCAGAGTGTGGCCATTTCGTATTGGAGAAACAGTTGGTGTGCTCATCCCTGAGGAAGACTTTCTCCTGTCCTCAGGATACATTAGTTGCCTGGAGTCCTTTGTGTAGGGTCGAGACCTCCTGGGGCCCCTACCCCACATTAGCCTGTCTACTGTGGTCCTTGTTCAGCTCCTGGTCAGGCAGGCAGTCATGTTGGTTCTTAAGAGACACAGTCTTACAGCACTCTCCTTGATTATCTGGCTTTTACAATCATCCCGATCTCTCTTCCTACAATGGTCCCTGAACCTTAGATTTGAGAGTTGTATTGTAGGTGTATCTGTTGGGCCCAGACTCTACAACTCGGCATTTTTTTGGGGCTGTGTTTTATGTAATATTTTCTGTTGCAAAGAGAATTTTCTTGATGAGGTGTGAGGACTCCACTTATCTGTGGCGATGAGGACAAATATTCAGACTATAGTTAGGGATGATGCTGGTTTAGGAAAGTGGTGGTTGTAGGATCTCCTCCAAGATCCATGATTCATGAGCCCGGGGTAGTTGGCTGGCTTTCTGCTACCAGGCATGCTTTCTGTCTTGCTAATCAGATCTTATGCCTGATTAGAGAGCTGTTGGATACTGCCAAGGTATGTGTGCTACTGCTACACTCTTAGGGTTATTGTTCCATGCTGGTTATCATTGCTGTTCTCAGGCACCATAGCTGGGCAGGGCTGTTGGTTGCCTCCCTCCTTTGCAAGTTTGCATGGCACTTTCTAGAACCATGAGAGCTAGTCCTCAGGGAGAGGCTTTTAGGTCAGTTCCAGCTCAGGGGATTCTGGACCCCATGTCTGAAGTGCATGGTGTCTTCAGCAATAAGGACTTTCCTTCTACCTCTTAGGGGCAACCATGGGCAACAGCAATCACTTGTAATGTTTTGGGAGTTGCTTGGACTACATTGACCAACCGCTCAAAAGTGGGCTAAGCTTGCATGGCATTTCTAGAACCATGAGAGCTAGTCCTCAGGGAGAGGCTTTTAGGTCAGTTCTAGCTCAGGGAATTTTGGACCCCATGTCTGAAGTGCATGGTGTCTTCAGCAATAAGGCTTTCCTTCTACCTCTTAGGGGCAACCATGGGCAACAGCAATCACCTGTAATGTTTTGGGAGTTGCTTGGACGACATTGACCAACCGCTCAAAAGTGGGCTTCTTATGCCTGGTGTTGAGTTTTTTGTTAGATGGTCTTTGTGTCCTGGAGGAAGCATTGTTAGCCCAGATGGGAAAATACATTTAAGGTGTATTTGTAAATTTATGCACCGATTTATGTAAATTATAGATATTTTCCTGTGGTTTCCTCTTCTAGATATTTTATGCGATGAATTACATGTAATCTTTTGTACCTCTTATCTTCAGTTAGGATAATGTTTTCAAGCGCACATGCCTAGAGACCATTGTGTGAATATAGTACATTTGGGCTTATTCCGCATTTTGGCTATTATAAAGAATGTTATTATAAGCACTTATGTACAAGTGTTTGTGATGGCATGTACTTTAATTTCTCCTTGGTATATACCTAGAAGTAGGATTCTTAGATCCTGTGACAACTAATCTAATCATTTGGAGATGTGTTGTATTGATTCCCAAAGCACCTGGCCTAGGAATTTTGATTTAATTTCGCTGTCTTAATTCATACTATATAAATGTTAAGAAACTCCAGCTATATTACTTATTATGGGTGGACCCCACTGTATTTTTGATTTGCATTTTGGAAGACTGCAGATGTGGAATGTCTTTTCACAGGTTTATGTAAATTTTTATGTCTTCCTAGGCAGAAATGTACATTCAGATTCTTTATTCATTTTAAGTCGACATTCTGTCTTGTTTCGTAAGTTATAGGGGTCCCATGGATTCTCCTTTTCCATCTCACTCCATTTCCCATTATGCTGTGAAGCAGTCTAGCTGTTTATCCTGCCCATCTGTCTTTATATATTCATTATCTGGTCTCTCTTGATAGCCCCTAATTTACGCACTTCCCAGACCCCACTCATCACTTATATTGAATTTTTCTTTCAGCAGTGTGGATTGAACCCTGAGCTTCACACATGCTAAGAAAGCTCAGCGTCATTCCCAGCCTGAGATTGAGTTTTCTTCTTTTTAAAGACAGGGTTTCTCTGGATATCCCTGGCTGTTCTGAAACTAGCTTTGTGGAAGAGGCTAGCCTGGAGCTCAGAGATCCACCTGCCTCTGCCTCCCAAGCGCTGGGATTAAAGGCATTCGCTACCACCACCTGGTTCACGCCTGTTTTTTTTTTTTGTGGGATCAGACTCAGGTTCTCATGCTCACAGAGTGTGTACTTTATCAATGAAACTAATGCCCTAGTCCCCCTGAGGACACGCATAATATTGTTCATTAGCAGGTTTTATGCTGTTTATCCATTAACTAACCATAATTTTAATTTATTTATTATTATTTTCTGAGATAGGATCTCACTATCTTGCCCTGGTATCCCTGGAACTCACTCTGTAGATCAGTCTGGTCTCAAACTCAGAGAGATCCACCTGTCTCTGCCTCTTGAATGCTGGGATTAAAGGCATGTGCACTACTATGCCCACCTTATTCTTTATTTCTAATCAGTTCTTCTGTTAATTTCTATACTATCAATAAAACAGCTTTCATATCATCTTGCCAATATTGTCTATGTGTTCAGTGTAAAGATAATGTGAGAAAATTATGTGGGACTCACTGCATTCCGCCTGCCTCTGCCTCCCAAGTGCTGGGATTAAAGGCCTCTGCTATCACCGTCTGGAAACTTGTATCATTTTTATTTGTTTAGGGGCTGCTACCTTTTGCTGTGGTAGGAAGTATGGAGGAGGTGAAAGTTGGAAAAAGAATGGTCAGAGGTCGTCATTACCCATGGGGAGTTTTGCAAGGTAAATATGAGAGCGTGTTTAAATCTCATGATGATTGAATCTATACTTGGTCATCCGTAGTCTCAAATAGCATTTTGATCTGGGCCAGTGTTGATAACTCTTAACTAGCTAGTAGGTTAGTAGTTGCTAATGAGCAACACACATTCCATTCTTATGGTACAGTTGTTCTCAACTTTCCTAACGCGGCGACCCCGTTAATTCCTCATGTTGTGGTGACCCCCAACAATAAAATTATTTTGTTGTTATGTTAGAGCTATAATTTTGCTACTGTTATGAATCATAAATATCTGATATGTAGGAAAACCAACATGACACTTCCAGGGGGGTCGCGATCCACAGGTTGAGAACCATCGCTACAGGATTTTGCCAGAAGCTGAGTTAGACCCACACCTACAAAGTCTCCTCCTTTAACCAATGTGCCACACGCACGCGGTCTCTGTCTTCCTGAAAGGTGCCATTCAGAATTCTCGGGCTCACTTTAACAAAACTGAAGAATAGGTACTAGTGCCTTCAAGAAAAAATTAGCACCTATTACCTAGATCCACCTGCCCAGGATGGCACCGCCCACATTGGGCTGGACCCTTCTACACCAATTAGCAATCGAGAAAATGCCCTACCGACACGCCCACAGACCAATCTGATTGGAGGCAATCTCTCCATTCAGGTTCTGTCTTTCCCGGTCTGTGAGGTTGAAAGCAAGATCAGATATTACATAGACTAAATAAATAGTAGAAAAAATTCGTGAGCTCAAAGTTTTTTTTTTTTAATATGCAGATGAGAGAGAGGGAGAGAGAGAGAGAGCGAGAGAGAGCGGGAGAGAGAGAGAGAGAGAGAGAGAGAGAGAGAGAGAGAGAGAGAGAGAGAAATGGAATTGAATGAGGAAAAGTTGGAGATGGCACTTAAAAAGAGCAAATATTTGGACTGAGAACACCCAAAGCGGTAGAAAGCTTATTCAGCACAACACTAACCGAAGTCCTCCATAACGGATTGATACCGATTTCCTTTTGACCAGTGGAGAATGAGAACCACTGCGACTTTGTGAAGCTCCGGGATCTGCTGCTGTGCACGCACATGGAAGATCTGAAGGATCAAACCCACTCCCACCATTATGAGTGCTACAGGAGCAGCAGACTGCAGCAACTGGGCTTCAACGACACGGGCCCCGACAGCAAGCCAGTGAGGTGAGGGAAACCTGCGCTGGCTAGCGAGCCGGCTCAGCGGTTCCTTAGTGCTTGCTGCTCTTGCAGAGGACCCAGGTTCAATCCCCAGCACCCGCTTGCTGCCTCCCAGCCATCTGTAACTCCAGTTCTAGGCGACCCAGTGTTCTCTTCCGGCTTATGTGGGCACCTGGCCTATATAAGCTATATAGACATGCGTACAGATAGACACTCATACACATAAAATTAAGAGTAAACAAATCTTAAAAAAGACATTGCTTTACGTATAAATTGATCCGTTAGGATGCCCTTAAAACCACCAGGTATGCTCATCCAAGAAGGATGAGGTGGCTCATGATGAACTCTTAGGTTTTTAATAGTTCTTGGACTGGGATGGGGAGGCATCAGGAGCAGCATCATGACAGGGCTCGTTTATAGCTTAGAGTGTGTCCAGTATTGCATGTTTTGAACTGTGAGCTCCAGGGAAGGCACTATGTTTTTTAAAAAAAACATTTGTATCTATGCAAAACAGAGGTTCATGGAAGAATAATCAAGTATTGGCATTTATTAATAAAAATCAACAAAAGTTTTGGAGAAGAGGTTGCTGGAAAAGCATTAGAAAGAAGTTATAGAAATGCTGGAAGTCGGGTGAAAAGCCAATGAACAGAACAGTTACGTCACAGCGACAACGTTTTGGCTACAGAAGTATGGACAGTACTATCAGATTACATTCATGTTGTAGCCGCCATGGTCGCATTGAAAATAACTTTTAAAATGTTACACTTATTTATTTATTTATTTTTGTGTGTGTGTGTGTGTGTTCACACATGCAGAGGTCAGAGAACAACTTGTAGGAGTTGCCTTTCTCCTACAGCATGGGTCCTGGGGATCAACTCGGATCTTTTTGCACGACAGCAAGTACCCTTCCTTACCTGTCGAGCCATCTCGCTGGCCCTTTATCACTGTTTTAAATATAAGGGATGAACTTTTGCTTTTAGTTTCCAAGAGATGTATGAAGCCAAAAGACAAGAGTTCCACAATCAGTGTCAGAGGGAGGAGGAAGAGCTGAAGCAGACGTTCATGCAGCGGGTCAAGGAGAAGGAACTGACCTTTAAGGATGCTGAAAAGGAGGCACGTATCACCCACCTCACATCCGTTCTCTGCGCCCTGTTCTTTGGGGGATGAGCTCCCGGGGATTCTTATTTTGGAAGAAACTTTCCATCTCTCTAAAAGTAGCTATTTATACACAGGATCTTAATATAGCATTTATGAAATAATAGGCTGAAATGATACTTTTTTCCCCCTGAGCATTTTGAGTGCCCCGTGTCTCTGACTTCCCTCTCAGCTCACCCAGCGCCTCTTCTGCTTACAGCTCTGCCAGCAAGAACCCTACAGGGACTCTTGGGGCCTGCCCCATCTCCATAGTTCCATCAGGCATCGTCCTAAGTAGAGTTCCCTCTATAGTAGCTATGATCTCATGACAGGGCCCCTAGGCTATCTATGATGTCTTTAGTCCTCTGTAGCAGCTATGATCTTGTGACAGGGCCCCTAGACTCTCTATGATGTCTTTTGAAACCTATGAGGAGACTTCTTAGCTTCACAGCTCTTGCCTTGTGCATGCCCATAGAGTCATGACAGAACCCAAGATTTATAGTTTGTATCTGCTAGAGCGTCAGATGCAGACATGCCGTTCCCTATTGATTTTGGCTGGAGTTTAAGGAGTACTGTGCGCTACACAGCAGTGAATCCTTAAGTCACTGGGACACCTGTCCAGACAGCTTGCCTCAAAGACCTCCCGAACACCTCAGGGTCATTCTCCATTGCTTTCACGACTAAAACTCATTTCTAACTTTGTTAATCTCTTTAGCAAAGGGTATAGCCTGAGTATTCTTTGGAAAACTTCCTTATATTGTAATTTCAGTTTTCAATAATTTTACTATTTCCACTTAGTTATGGATTCACTCTTTAGTTTTGTTTTTGATCTGCCTGCCTCTGATTCTCAAATGCTGAAATCAATGGCTTTGTACCATTACCGCCTGGCTTCAGTCTTTAGTTTCTGTCCCCCCCTGCCTCTTCTCCCTCCGAGACAGGATTTCTCTGTGCGGTCCTGGCTGTCCTGGAACTACTATTGCTTCACTGTCTCTTTATCCTTTCTGGTCTGTTGTATAAGTTGTGTGACAGTATTCCTGTGGAAACACAGACACACATCTCCTTACCCTAGATAGGACACTGATGACTCTCTAAAGTGAGGAGGTAGCAGAGAAACCAGCCATCCCCCTTGGTGATAACTCATGTCACACACTCAGGAAAAATAAGGGGAAAAACTCTTAATAATAACATGTGTCCATTGTTTCCTAGTCATGTGTCCAGTGTTTGCTAGTGTCCAAAGAAAAATTGGCCATGAACAGGCATCACCCCCACCCTCCCATTCCTATTGCCTTATAAAGTTTTATGACCTCAAGTTACATTTTGAGTAATTAAACATGCTTCACAAAGACAGAAATCTCAAGGTTTGGCCTTTTGGACAAATAGAAACATTTACAGTATAAAATATTGTCACAGTTATCCAGAGACAATCCTGGATCGCTTTTACCAGGCAGGTATTAACCAAGGTTGTCTTTTCCTCCTGGTAGGATTGTCCTACCCTGATAAAAGTCCTGGGAGGGCTCCCTAAGCTAAATTCTACTTTGTATTATTTAATATTCCCTACAAAAAAACTTCGTGGGTCCTTTATAATATCAATTTGTTATTCTCAGTTTCTCCTATTCCAAGTCCAACTTGGGGAATCCATTAGCCCTGTTGGGGGTGACTTTAGGAAGATGGGTGAGATGTTACTTACAGGAGCAGAAATGACTCAGAGACAGCTACATCACCAAAGCCACCCAGCAAGGACAACAGCTCACAAGAGCTGGGAATTTGGAGCCTACCGCGCAGCCTGCAGGTAGCTCAGCAGGTTGGAGGGTATCCTTTTCAGCTAGCTCAGGTGATCTGAGCCTCTTCCAGGTAGCTCAGCGGCTCTCTCTGCTTCTTCCAGGCAGCTTGTTTTGTCTGCGAGTGTCTCTCAGCATTCCCCACAGCTTATATAAGCCCAGGGAGAGGCGTGTCTAGTGAATCTGGTCAGTTTTAGGGACTTCCTGAAGCTATCAAGGATCCCCGACCTCAGCTGAACTTGACTTTCCCTGCATGATGGAATCCTTGGCCTCACTAGGACCATCTGGTGATTTACCTCCTTCTAAACATGCTGTGTCGTAACTAGCTTCCCTCCAAGATGGAAGGTTTGAATCTTGGAGGAAAGTGTTACACAACAGTATATTTTGCAAATGTATCTGCTGAACAAATTGGCTTCTTTATTATTATTCAGAGAGATTTTTTTCCTTACTATAGATTTTGGCTGAAAGTTTCTTTTTTCCTCGATGAATTATTATCATTAATCTCTCTGTGTGTATATGCCCATGTGCATGCGTGTTAGTGTGTGTGTGTGTGTGTGTGTGTGTATAAGAAAAACATTTTCTTGTAGGCAATGCTCTACTGAACACTGCCTTAAAAACATTAAATACTTATGTTTTAATTAGATAGTCTAATCCACTTACAGTTAAAGTGATTATTGATCGATAGGAATTGAATGTTGCCATTTTACTGTTGGCCGACTGTATCGCCAATTCCTTTGTTTCCTCTCTTGCTGTTTTTATCTGTTATTTGTTAATGCTTCTGTAGCCTCATGCTTTGCTTATTTTCTCTTTATCTTTTGTGTACCTTTCATAAGGTTTAAAAATTTTTCAGTGTTTTAAACCAAAGTTACTGGAAGTTGGGCCATTTAGATAGCTCAGCAGATTAAGGCACTTACCGCCAGTCCTCATGACCTGAATTCCATCCCTGAGACACATGGTGGAAGGAGAGAGAAGTCACTCTTGCAAGTGGTTCTCTGACTGACACACTTGCATTGCAGCTTGTGCTTACCCCACCCCATATGAAATAAATTAATAAATATAATTTTATTTTTATTTTTCAAAAATTAGGGGAGGTGAGTTTTACACTAACTTCCTGCATTAGATTTTAATATATAAGACCAAACCAGAATGGAATAAATCACCCATGCTAAATGATGTAATATCAAATTAGGCTTCAAAATGGACCAGTTTGGGGCCAGCAGAATGGCTCAGGAAGTAAGGGTGCTTGCTGCTGAAGCTGAGTTAGATCTAACCTGAGTTAGATCCATGGTGGAAGGAGAAAACCAACTACAGACAAAATCACAAGAGAATATAGTCAACTCGAGTTAGCAGAGTAAAACTTTGATTCAAACCTGTAACAAAAGCCAAGTGGAGGTGGTGCACGCCTTTAATCCCAGCACTCGGGAGGCAGAGGCAGGATCTCTGTAAATTCAAGGCCAGCCTAGTCTACAAGAGCTACTTCCAGGACAGCTAGGACTGTTACACAGAGAAACCCTGTCTCAAAAAACAAAACAAAACTAAACAAAAAACCTATGCGAAACCAACTTTCAAATGCCCATCTGGATTTTGCTACCTGCTTCTGCTTTCTTCTTCTGCCTTTAACCCTCACCCCCATCTCCTTGACACCCTCACATATCCTATAATCTAATAATATAAAATATAAATATAATAGGTTTAGAATGGTCCACTGCTCAATTCTAGAAACAGAACTAGAAACCAATTATACTATGACGTTTAGTTTTTGTAATTTTAGGGAGCACAGTAGTGGTACACTTGACCCCCCCCCCTTTTTCAGAGATAGGGTTTCTGTATATAACTGTCCTGGCTGTCCTGGAACTTGCTTTGTAGACCAGGCTGGCCTCAAACTCACAGAGGTCGCCCACCTCTGCTTCCCAAGTGCTGGAATTAAAGGTATGTGCCACCACCACCCAGCCCTGGACTCCCTTTAAGGGCTTCCATTTACCTTGTAGAAGTCCAAGGATTTCAAAGAAGTGTTTCTTGGGTTATACACTGCCTTTTGGATTTCACAAATCTTTGTGACTCTTCTTCTTCTTCTTCTTCTTCTTCCTCTTTTTCTTCTTCCTCTTCTCCTCCTTCTCCTTCCCCTCCCTCCCTCCCTCCTTCCCTCCCCCTCTCTTTCTTTCTTTCTTTCTTTCTGTCTCTCTCTTCTTCTCCTTCTCCTCCTCCTTCCTTCCTTCCTTCCCTCCTCCTCCTCCTCCTCTTCCTCCTCCTCTTCCTCCTCCTTTTCCTCCTCCTTTTCCTCCTCCTCTTCCTCCTCCTCCTTCTCCTTCTCCTCCTCCTCCTCTTATTCCTCCTCCTCCTCCTTCTCCTTCTTCTTCTTTAAATAGCTGCAGGACAAATTTGAACACCTGAGGAGAATCCAACAAGAGGAGACCTTGAAACTGGAAGAAGAGAGAAGAAAATTAGAAGAGCAAATCATAGATTTTTATAAAATGAAGGCCGCCTCTGAGACGTCGCAGGCCCAGGTGAACACCAATGTAAAGAAGGACAAAGATCGCAAGAAATGATCTCTTCTTACCATTCCGGCTGCTTGAGAGTTCACCATCCTCTCTTCCTGGACCCATGAACTTGTCTGCATAGTACTTAACTTTGACTGGAAGTCTAATCTTTTCAGCAATTATTTAGCATGTGTGATTTTGTACTGGAGTGCCAAATTCTTGGGAGGAAGATGCCATGTGTATCTTGTGAGGTGTTGCAACATGGACCAGCACTCCATGGTTGTGTTTATTAATCAACATAGCCAAGAAGTATCTAGCATAGTATAGACATGTGGTTTTTTTTTTTTTTTTTTTTTTTTTTTTTTTTTTTTTTTTTTTTTTTTGGTGTTTTGAGACAGGGTTTCTCTGTGGTTTTGGAGCCTGTCCTGGAACTAGCTCTTGTAGACCAGGCTGGTCTCAAACTCACAGAGATCTGCCTGCCTCTGCCTCCCGAGTGCTGGGATTAAAGGCGTGCGCCACCACCGCCCGGTTTAGTATAGACATGTGTGATCAGAAAGAGGACCTTTCTTTGCCACCCATGTGCCTTTGACTCCACAGTAGGGACTTTTACAATTTCTGTTTCCTTAGAGTTTTACTTTGTGTGTGTGTGTTTTGTTGTTTATTTTTTCAAGACACATTCTCACTATGTAGTCCTAGTTGTCCTTGCTTGTTATGGGAGGTCCTCCCACTCCTCCAGCCTATCACCGCTGAGATACCAGCCCATTGGGGCGTGGTCTCTCTCCCTTTAAAAAAGCGGCCACTTCCCTCTCCTCTCTCTCTTCACTTCCTGCTCCGACAGCGACTAGACTCCCTTCCTGGTTGCGCAGAGGGCTGACGGTGATCTGTAAGTTTTTTCCCCTTTAAATAAATACCACCCTATTAATCATAATTCCAAACTGGTGTGGCATTGTTTATGACTTACGCCTTCACTTGCTAGCACTTTGTGTAGATCGACCTGTCCTTGAACAGCAATACTCCTGCTTCTGCCTCCTGAGTGCTGGGATTATAAGCGTAAACCGGCATACCTAGCTCTATTGAATTTTCCTTGAGGATGCATAGGCATAAAGTATTGTTGTAAAAGATGATTATTGGTTATTCTCTTACCAAACTCTATTGATAGCTAGTCTTGATAACTTTAATTGCAACAGAGCATTATGTTTTGATCAGAACTCCTATGCTTTGGTGCCATACTTGTAGAAGTGAAAATGAAAGGTTCAAAATCTAGATGGCAGCAGACTATAGTGATAATATTAATTCTTAAAGATTTTGGCTGTATGCTAAAAAATTATCACCGTGTACAGTATGGGATATGGTTCTTTGTTCTGTTTTTAAAAATGTCCTGATTTTATAAACTGAGGTCAGGGCTTTTTAAATTTAATCAGTTTAAAATTTAATCAGTTAAAATTTAATCATTTTAATCAGTTACTTATTTGATGTTTTGGTGTGAGCCTAGCCTTTAGTGACTGAGCCATCTCTCAAGCCCCAGTTACTTATTTGAATGTGGTTGACCTTCCCCATGCCGACCCATTCTATGTCAATAGAGCCTTTGAAGGACTTTGTCTCTGGGCACTTCAGCCACATTTGGATCAATTCTTTCTTAATAGTCCTGAGCAAAGTAGAGTTCTAATGAAACTTTAATATTGCATCCATTTCAAATGCAGCATTTAAGGCTATCACTATATACACTCAAAACACTTTGTAATTTATACTTATAATATCTCCGTGAAAAAGTCTTATGGGAAAAGTGACAAGAAAGAGAAACAAATCCATAAAGTTTCATATTTGTTGGTAAGTCATCTTACAAGTGGGGTGAGAAAGACATATAATACATGGCTATCATAGTGCCAATAATAGAAGAACAAAGACCTCTCTTCTGATCATTTATATCATTTATCTATTCATTCCTAGGCTTAGGACAATTCATAATGCACAGTGAATACTATTAGTTGAGTAGATCATCCCAGTAGCAGTATGTTACCTGCATTATATGCATGGATAGTTTAATTTAGATAATTGACTTTTTTATTTTTTGAGAAAGGGTTCCTTTATGTATCCCTAGCTGTCCTGGAACTCACTCTGTAGACCAGGCTGGCCTTGAGCTCCACATGCCTCTGCCTCCCCGAGTGCTGGGATTAAAGGCATGCACCACCACTGCCCAGCTAGGTAATTGACTTTCAAACATAATATAGTGTATCACTGTTTTCAACATGGCTGCAAGTTATATTGCTGAAATGCTTTTCTATTGCCATTCTTTAATCTTAATGCACTTTGTAAAATTGGAACTGACAATGTTATACAATAAATAACATCAATAAAACTCATGTTGTGTGCTAGCTGTCGGCTCAGTTTACAGCAGGGTGGGGGTGGGATAGAGATCAAGACAGATGTGGCTAAGATACATTCCCAGTGACTAACTTCTTCCAGCTGTTCCTCATTTCCCACAACTTTCTTGCTCTTCCCAAATAACATCACCGAGTCCTGAACATTGAAAACATGAACATAGTGGGAAGTTTCCAGATTCAAGCCACACATCTGTCAGTGGACCAAAATGGCATGGCTGTCTCATAATGCAAGATGGATTTACCCCATTTACAAAAGTCCCCAAGCTCTATCAGTTCTCACGGTTTTCTGAAGTCTAGGTCCAAAGTCTCTTGTGTCTGAAGACAAACTCCTAGGTGTGATCCCTATAAAATAAAATAAATAAAAACACAAGTTTAGTGTCTCCAAGATAAAATACCAGAGTTCAAACCTCTTTAAAGAGAGGAGTTGAGAGTATAGAAAGGAGGCATTGGGTCAAACCAAGACTGAAAACCAGCAGGGCCAGCTCTATGTTCAGCTCTGGGGAATTTGTGTTGCTAGCATCTGAGCTCCAATGGGTGTGGGCAGTCTCATCTCTGTGGCCTTGCCACATGGCCTCTCTTAGGTTGGCCTCATTCATTCCCTGTAACTTTGCTCAGAAAACAGTTCCTTTCTTCTTCTTCTTCTTCTTCTTCTTCTTCTTCTTCTTCTTCTTCTTCTTCTCTCCTCCTCCTCCTCCTCCTCCTCCTCCTCCTCCTCCTTCTCCTCTTCTTCTTCTCTGTATATCTTCTCTGTATAGTGTATAGTCTTGGCTGTTCTGGAACTCATTCTGTAGACCTGTAGAGGCTGGCCTAGAATTTACAAAGATCCTATTGCCTCTGCCTCCTGAGTACTCGGATTAAAGGTATGCACAACCACTGTCCAATCCAGAAAACATTTCTTGGTCCTAGCGTCTTCAAGAGTGACGTCTTGAAGCTTTAGCTCCCCTGCATTCTTTGTGACAGGGTCTCATGATATATCCCTAAATGGCCTGAAACTTGTTTTGTAGACCAAGTTGGCCTCAAAAGCACAGAGGTTTGTCTGGCTCTGCCTCCCAAGTGCTGGGATTAGTGTGTCCATCACAGGCTTCATTTCTAGCTTTCCTACAGCTTCATTCACTGCCCTCTCCTGCAGCCAGTTTGATTCTGATACACATTGCCTGTCTTCTCAGGTCTTCCTTTCAAACCCCGGTGGGACTGGGAGGTGGTGGTGGCACAGGCCTTTAATCCCAGCAATTAGGAGGCAGAGGCAGGCGGATCTCTGTGAGTTTGAGGGCAGCCTGGTCTGCAGAGTGAGTTCCAGGACAGGCTCCAAAGCTACAGAGAAAACCTTTCTTGAACAATACAAAACAAAACAACAACAAAACCCCCAAACCAAACCAAACCAAACCAAAACAACAACAACAACAAAAACCCAGTGGGGGCCATAGTATGCATAGTGTAGTGTATACATATCTACAAAGCCAGTACTAACTACCAGCTGGAGCAGTAGAGAGTCACTCTTGGAACAGCGCTACAGCAGCTTCTAAGTGCTTGGGAACCCGAGCCCAGGAAACTCGTCTTTGGGTGGACTTGTGGTAGCAGGGTTTCCCCACTGGCACTCTCTTCTCAAAGAAAAGTCTTTCAGATGAGTTAACAATTTGTTATCCTGGAACCTAAGGTAGGTGGCATTTGGTTAATTTGTCCCAGGCAACGTTCTTGGCATCTCTTAAACAGACATAAGACTAAATTTTTTTTTTTTGTGGTTTTTCGAGACAGGGTTTCTCTGTGGTTTTGGAGCCTGTCCTGGAACTAGCTCTTGTAGACTAGGCTGGTCTTGAACTCACAGAGATCCGCCTGTCTCTGCCTCCCAAGTGCTGGGATTAAAGGCCTGCGCCACCACCGCCCGGCTATTGACTTGTAATTTGAACCTTTTCTGGCCAAGGACCATGTTTTTCAAATCATTATGCTCTGTGTCTTTTTTTTTCTTCCAAATTCTCACTGTCCACCTGACTAAAAGCAGTCAACAATAATCATGCCACATTTGAATGTCACGCTGTCTTGAAATTTCCTCTGGCAAATTTAATTAGTCCAACACCATTAAACTCAGCCCCTCACAAAGCTTCAGAATGTGAACAAGATATATACAAACTCTTTGCCTGTAGTTAAGAAAAATGGCCTTTGGTCCAATTCCCTATAAATTCCCTTCCTATCTTAAATCTCATGAGCAGTTTTAGTTACTGCAGATATTCTGGTTGTATTAGTTACTACAGATATTCTGGTTGCATTAGTTACTACTGATATTCTGGTTGTATTAGTTAGTACTGATATTCTGGTTGTATTAGTTACTACAGATATTCTGGTTGCATTAGTTACTACTGATATTCTGATTGCATTGGTTACTTTGCTGTTACTGTAATAAAAATACCACAAGCAAGGCAACTTTTAGAAGGAGAGTTTATTTGTGCTTACATCTTCAGAGGAATGAGTCCACCAGGGTAAGGAAGCATGGGTGCAAGCAGGTATGGTGGCCAGAGCAGGAAGCTGATGGATCACGTCCTCAACCTCAGTCCCAAAGCAGAGTGAACTGGAAGTAGGGTGGGGCTATGACACTTAAAGCCCACCCCCAGTGACATACTTCCTCCAGCAAGGCTGCACCACCTCCCCAAGTGATGCCACCAACAGGGAACCCAGTGGGCAAATGCTCCAACCTCT